GTCTCCACGGAGCATGGTGATTACAGAGGTTGCCAGCTATGGTCGTTATTTCAAAGAAGATACGTGGCTGGTTGAATAACCAAGTACAAAGAGTCTAGATTCTAATTTCTTGTCTACCTTGAGGAAGTCACAGTCTAGACTCCTGTCTAGTAACACTTATATGATGTTACTCCAAAGAGCAGAATTAGAACAAAAACAAGGATACAGGTTGCAGCTTAATATGAGTAGGGAAATTCTCACCCTTAAGACTCCCTAACAGTAGAACTGGCTCCCTCGTGAATTAGCAAGGGCCCTGAATGATGGAAATCCAACTGTTTGGCTTAAGCAAAAAGGGAATTTATTGCCTCATGTAACTAAAAAAGTCCACAGGGGGTTTGTGAATTCCACCAATAGTGTAAGGAGTTGATCTCTTCTCATCTCACAGCTCTAACCTTTTGCATGCTGATTCATTCCAGGCAGGCTGCTTGTGGGAACGAGACAGTGGGGCAGCCCCAATCTCGCATCCTCACAGTACATCACTCCCCGTGGAAAGAGAGCCTCTTTCTACCAATAGTCCTAGCGTTGGGTCTCACTGACCTAGACTGAGCCGTGTGCTCCTCTTTGAACCAATCACTAGAGCCCTAGTTCATGAAAGACCCTGACCAGTCAAGCTTGCGTTACTCGGACACCACTGGAGTCCCGTGTTCTGAGAGTGAGAGAGGGCTGGGTTTCCCAAAGGAAAGTCGAGGTGCAGCTTCTACCTGGCATCGAGTAGGTCACAACCACGGGTGTCCATTCTAAGACCCAAGCCTGCAAGTGTTCCAGCTGTGGCCACAGAGACATGAAAGGGACCTCTGCAATTAGCTGAGCAGGAGTCTGAACTCAAGGACCTCAAATTACATGCCTTTCCATCCTCAGAGTCTGTGATTCTGAGAAATAAAATCCAGGTCAAAGCATCTTGCTAGCAGTGTTAATGTTTTGGAATTGCTATTGTGATGTTTCTGGTGAGATTTAAACGTTTTTAGTAAAAGTTTGATATTATCTCTCAGGGAATAAAATTATACTTCTTTCCCTCCTCCCTTCAGAAAACTTGGATGAAATGATTGCTCTTCAGACCAAAAACAAACTAGAAAAAAATGCTACTGACAACAAAAGTAAGCTTTTCCCAGGTATGACTTACTTAACTAATTTTAAAAATGTATTTATTTATTTCTTTTTGGCTCCTCATCGGTCACCTTGATTACTTAATTTTTTTTTAGCTTTTAGAAGAATAACCCTTTTGAGTGATAAATAATGAACTTCGATAAACATTAATGAAGAGTTACAGATTTCAAAAAGTTTTAAAATCTGAAAGCCAACCCAGGATTAAATAGATGTAACGTTAGCT